AAACTGATTTATTTATTTTTTTTCTCGTGAATTTTTTTTTGAAAAAATGTCTGAAATTTAATTTCTTTGTGGTTCGAAACTTGATTCCATCGACCGCAAAATTATATATATATATATATATATATAAATTATATATTAATATATAATATATACTGATATAATATATGTGAAAATAAAGTGTGTGTGACGGGTTGTCTGAATTTTTTTTTACATTTAAACCGCTTTTCTTTTTTTTAAAAAAAAAAACTTATTTAATTGTAATTATTTATAAACTTTATCGCTTTAAACGTGTTAATTTTAATAACAATAACTTAACATCTTTACGAATGAAACCCACGACAAACAAACAAACAACAACGACAAAAATTACCGAATTTGATATTTTATTCGCATATCGACAAATAGAATGCAAAAAAAAAATTTTTTTTTTTACTTGAAAGGGGTGAAAACAAAAAAGAAATTTTTTTTGCATACAAACGGAAAACAATAACGATAATAATAATAATAATAAAATTTGTTTGTTTGTTTTATAATTTTTTTTTTTTTTATTTCGATACACACCGGAAAATTTGTTTAATTGGAAAAAAAAAAATTTTATAAAAAAAAAATTCAATTTGTAAAATAAATTATTTAAAAAAAAAAAAATTTTTAACGGAGGGTAAAAAAACAATCGACAAACAAACAAACAAACAATTCACCGAAATTGTTTTGTTTTGTTTTTTTGGCTATTAAATCGATCGTATAAAAATACAAAAATTTTTTAATAAAAAAATAATAGATACCATCTCGTAAAACGAAAAGAGGGTTAAAAAAAAGTTGTTGTTGTTGTTAAGTCTCGAGTTCGTTCGTAAACAATAACAACAAAAACAACCAAACAACCAACGCACACGATTGTGGTGCACTTGAAAAAAAAAAAAAAACGTTTTCACGAGTTTGACGTGTTAATAATAAAGACATAATCGGCGTTTGTACCGCGTATTTCGTGTTTTACTACTAACCGTCACTAATCGCTCAATAATTCACTCAACCCTGTCGCATTTACTATATTGTACGATTTTTTATTGCCCGTTAACTCTTTGGTTTAATATTTTATTATTATTATTATTACTATTTTTACGATCGTCATCATCATCATCATCATTCTCGTCATCATTATTATTATTATTATCAGTACGAAAAAAAAAAAAAAGTGTTTGAAATCTTATCTATCACACGTATAAACAACGACTGAATTTTTCTTTCTCTCCTCCTCCTCCTCTTCCTCCTCCTCCTCCTTCTCTTCCTCCTCCTCCAAAAAAAAAATTATTTTATTGAAAAGTATACTACCCCCTACTACTACTCACTACTACTACTACTACTACGTCATAGATTAATTTAAAAACATAATGCAGCGTGTTGTTCACAAAAAAAAAAAAAAAAAAAAGTCGTTCACGATGTATCATGTTTTATTTCAATAGTCTATTTTACTTAAACGCCCTGGAGGCAAAATGTTTTTTTTTTTTTTTTTTTTTTTTAAACCGCTGGAAATTATGGCGTGGATTAATGGAGAAAAATTTTTTTTTTCTCCAAAAAAAAAAAACATTTTTAACATCCTTTTTTTTTCATATATAGATAGATATTTTAATTAATGTCCGCTTGTTATAATAACTGTTATTACAATTGAGGGAATTGATTTGGAATGTCTCAATTTATTCTTTTTTATAGGAATATTTTCCATAAGTATTCACCATCTTTTTTTTTTTTTCTATCTATCGGTTATAGATTAACATCTCTCTCTCTCTCTCTCTCTCTCTCTCTCTCTCTCTCTCTCTCTCTCTTTCTCTTTCTCTCTCATTTTAAGCTCTCACGAAAAAAAAAAAACAAAACTAGTTCTTCAAAGGTTTTTTCTCACACACAAAACTTTTAAAAAAAAAATTTATTTTTTTTTATGTGTCTACACATCGTAATGGGATTTGTTTTACTCTCTCTCTCTCTCTATTTAACTCTTCATCTCCTGTTCGTATCCGGGAATGATGATGATGATGATGTTTTGTTAAAATCTTATATATTTGGCAGATTTAACCAAAAAAAAAGAAAAAATTTTGAAAAAAAACTGGTTTTGTATTTTTTTTTTTTTTGATTCGTGACATTTTTATAAGGTATAACCGAGGAAAGTTTCACGTCACGCGTGGCCTGTCACGCCACCTATATTCACGAGAAGAACAATATAATTAGCCTTTTTTTTTTTATATATAACAGACCTTTGAAGGAAGCCTATATTATTATTATTATTTTACCGGAACTTGACTATTATTCAAATTTTTTTTTTTTTTTTATCCCAAAACAAACCGGAGGGTAAACGAAAAACAAAAAGAAAAAAAATGTTTTTAATTTTATTTTCATCTTTTTCTCGCTTCTTTATTTTCTTCTTTCACTACTACTATTTGTTCTATTTTGTTTTTTTTTTCTTTTTTTTTACCTTCTTTAACAGATAAAAAAAATGAGAGGTCATTTATTATTATTATTAATAAAAACATTTATATATGCGACGTTCGAACTAGTAGCAAATGTAAAGATTCCTGTTGTCAATTTTTTTCTTTAAAAAATTTAATTTTATTTTTTATAAAAAAAAAAATGAAATCCATTAAAAAATTTAATGACGTAATTGCAAGTAAATTAAAATCGGTAAATTTCGTTAATTATATTTTATTATATATCGCACAAAATTTAAAAAAAAAAAAAATGAGTTTGTTTGGCGGGTAAAAATTGTTGTTTTATTAAGAAAAAAAAAACAGGAATAATTAATTTATATTTAACCGTTTTTTTTTTTTTTTTAAATTCACGCTTGAAATTTGTTGCAAATAATTGCCTAAAGTGAAAATAATAATAATAATTAGAGAGAGAGGGAGGGGGGACGGTTAAAAAAAAATTTTTTATACGTAAAAGTAAGTTTCACGACTCCAACAACAACAACAAACGATAAGTTTAAAATATTTTTTTTATTTATTTATCTGTTTGTTTTTATTACGTCATAGATTTAAGGGAGGAGGTTTGTTGTTTTGTTTTGTTTTCATTCAATGCAAAAAAAAAGGAAAAAAAGGTTTTCATAACGCGGATTTAAAAAAAAAAAAAAAAAATCTCGACTCAAGGCGAAAATAAAAAAAACATGAAAATAGTTGTTTTGATTTTTAGTACCCCCACACGTACCTTTTCCTTCGATTTAACTGGTAGGGGGAGGGAGGGGAGGGAGCATGCGATGTACCTGACCATTTAAAACTCATTTTATTAAAGCATATCATTATAATAACCGCGAGGATTTTTTTTTTTTTTTTTTTCATTATTCAACGCCATTTAAAATAACACGGTTAAATCGTTGTTGTGGGTGTAATAAAATCGTTTAGTTAACAATTTTTATAAAAGTTTCTTTTTCTCTTATAATAAGTATCTATTAATTATAATTAGCGTTATCATAATAAAAAAAAAAAATTTTTTTGATTACCTTTGGAATTCTTCTCTTTCTCTCTCTCTCTCTCTCCCCATCAAACGACGACAACTTTCTCGAATCTTCCACGCCCCCCCTCCCCGTCTTCCTCTCCCCACAAACTCTTATTATTATTATATTTTTGTTCAAATGGTTAAATAATAATTTTTGACATTTACAAAACAAGTCAAAACGATATTAATAATAATAATAATACGTGGTGGTGACCCCTTGTTGTGACGTGTCGGGTAATATAAAGTCACACGCAATTAAGAGATGTTCAAATTGTTAAAATTATTATTATTATTATTATTATTTTATTACGCTCGAATTAAAACCGACGTGGAAAAAAAAGAAAAATAATAATGACGTTTGATATTAATAAATATTAATATACTCGTATTACGTAATTAAAAAAAAAACATCAGGTAAAAAATATTATTATTATCATTATCATTATTATTATTCATTTTTTTAAGGGTGTTATAATTTTTTTTTTGAAAAACGTGGGTAGCCATATTAATTTTATAAAAAAAAAAAAAATTTCATTTGTTTCTTTTTATTCCCTTTATAAAAGTTTTTTTTTTTTTTATATACACCTTTAATTAAAATAATATTTATTACTTAATAATAATAATAAAATGTGTGTGTGTGAGAGAGAGAGTTTTAAAAATATCTTTTTTTTTTTACAGATGTAAAAAGTTTAAATAAATACTTACGTGTTTTTTTATTAATGACGATTAAAAATTATATACAATAAAACATGGCAGAAAAACGCTTCTGGGTATTTTTTTTAAAAAAAAAAAGTTTTGTTCGGACTGTGAAGGAGTAGCAGCATAAATGTTAAATTAATTTTATTTTTAAATTTAAAAGTTTTCTCGCGTCGTCTGCTTTTGTTTTTTTCCCTTTCCGAAACCACCGGAAAGGAATCTGGGAAAATAAAAAGAAAAAATTTTCAAACTGATAGTTTAATGTACAAACTGGTTGTTTAAAAATGAGCTAATTTATCCACGGTTCTTTGTTGTTGTTGTTGTTGTTTTGATTGTCAACGTGGTTGTTGTTGTTGTTGTTGTTTTATGTTGTAAATGTAGGATTTTATTTAATTTAATACAACATATGGAGTGTGAATTGTTACGCCGAATGTAATTTAAATTATTCAAAATTGTATATTAGGGGATGAAAAAGAAAAAAAAAATAGTTTTTTTTCGGCAATTAAAGTGGTCTTGGAAGGGGTGGGAAGGGGGGAAAAAAACAATTTTTTATTGATTTTTGGGGGAAGATGAAACATAAAAACAGAAAAAAAAATTTTAATTATTAAGAAACCTCGAGAGAGAGAGAAAATTATACAGAAAAGAAAAAAAAAATTCACATGTTTATTTATGTTTATATTTTTTTTTTTTTTGCACATCATCCCATATTATCATTATCAATATTATCATTATTATTATTATTATTAATAATATTATTTATTTATTTATTTTTTATTATTATTTTTTTATTTATTTCGCAGACTATAAACAATTTTACAAAATTTTATTGGTTATGGCGATTTGTCACGTCGTCGTAGTCGCAGCATTGTTTTGTTGAGGTGATGATGATACGTCACCATTTTACCGGATATGTCTTTATTTTCCGCGTTCATTGTTTCCGCTCGGCTCAATAATGATTCTATGCTAAAAGGATTTAACCTTCTCGGTTTGCTGTTGAGAATGGAACGATTGTTAAAAAAAGAAAATGTCAAATTCATTGAATTAGCACAATTTTGCCTACAATCACTTATTCTCATATCGCTTTTATTTAACTTTGATAGTTTTTTATCACACGAACTGTTTTCCTGTTCGGAGTCTTTCAGTCTTCCATCTTTCTGTTTACCGTTGTTGCGTACATTGTCGAAATCCATATCCGGTTTCGATGCATCGCTATCGTTAAGTCTTAAATTAAAACCGAGTTTTATACGTTCCTCTTGTGTTAGCCTTCGATTTTCGTTTGTTTTATCTTCCGTTTCGCCGGATACGTATGATATCGGTTCCAATTCGCTTTCGTTTTCCACGTTTAAATAATCGCTTTTGTGAATTGATGATATATCATCGTCGTCATCGTCGTCGTCGTCGTCACCGACGACGTCGATTTCGACGTCACGATTCGATACGTTACCCACGCTCGACACGCTGCACAAACTCGAATTCGATTCGGTGTTATGTTGCAAGAAAAGATTTGCGTTTTCCTCCGTCGACATGACGTTTCTAGAATTGTTTTTCTTACTCAATTGCTGTTGCTCCCATTCTCGTCTGAGAGTTTGTACGTCAACGACGATGCCTTTGGCTGCAAGTTTTCTCTGTTGTCTTTCTAGAGATCTCAATAATTTTTTTTCCCTCCTTTCTCTTTCTTTTCTTTTCAATTCTTCGAGGGGTATCGGTTCTCCGCTGCATGTTTGAGGATGAGCATTGTGAGCCGGCCTTCCCGGTCCTTTTTTCGTATGTTCTTTTTTCCTCCATTTCGCTCTACGATTTTGAAACCAAACCTACAAAAAAAAAAAAAATTTTTTTTAATTTTTTTTAAAAAAAAATCTCATTAACCGAGGAGAGCCTTCATTAATTTTTATTATTTCCGGAAATAAGATATCTCGATTTAAAATCGATTCGCCAAGTGAAAATCGACCCTTTTAATTTTTTATATAATAATTTTGATAAAATCATTTTGCAATTTACTTATATATATATATATATATATATATATATATATTTAAAATATGTAATAAATTAAATTTTGTTTTATCAAAAAAAAAATTAATAAGTTTATATGTATATTATTACCGGTAATAAAAATAAAGTTAGTTTTTATAAAATGTTATTATTATTATAACCTCGAAAGAAAAATTCGTGTCGGAATATTAAATATAATAATATTTATGAAATATTTAAACTTTTTTTTTTGAATTCGTTTTAGAAAAAAACCGAAAACAGAGAGAGAGAGGGAGAGAGAGAGAGAGAGAAAATTTTTTTTTTTTTAATCTTTTTAAAAAAATCTTAAATTTTTATCATTGAAATCAAATAAATTTATTTTAACCGCCAAAAAACTAATAAAATTTTAACACTTCTTTTTATATATTCAACCCTTACACCCTCTTCGTTTAAACAAAAAGAGAGAGAGAGAGAGAAAGAAATTTTTTTTTTTTATTCGCTTTCCTTTGTCTGTCAAACCCTTGGATAATTATAATTTCACGTTAGGAAAATTAAATGCGGTGATAATATAATATGAAAAAGATTTTATCACCAATGAAAATTTATTTTTAAAAGATGAATCGTTGAATTTTATGTTAGAAAAACGGGGATTCTGGTGCTGCTGCTGCTTTTGCTGCTGGTGATGGTGGTGGTGTGATAGTAACAAAGGACCGTTTCGAAATAAATGTTTAAGAGTTGATTCCCAAAGGGAGATAAAAGCCGTATGTTGTTGTTACTTTGGTTAAATCTTATTATTAAACGTTAATTTTATAATTTTTTTTTTTACAATATTAATATTATTATTATTATTATTTTAATTATAATTCTTTTTCGACCGGAAATGACTTCGGAATTGCCAAAATTTTTTAACGTTTATCTTTCCCGGTTTGTTTCCAATTTTTTTAAAAAAATAAATATCGATCGGTGATTGAACTGTTGAAAAATGTAAACCTTCTCAAAACAAAAACCATTTCCGGTACGGTTTCTAAAAAAATCTTTTTAAAATTGTTCTTTGATGATTGTTGTTGTGACTGGCATGGTTTTAAATCCTCTCATGATGACCGTAATCGTTTCCGTTTGTTTTTGTTTTTTTTTTTCCTTTTCACATCCTGTCAATTTCAATTCTTTGTATTTCTACACTTGCAGCCTTTTTTTCGTTTTACCGTCGGCAAAAATAACCTTACGATGGTATATCTGGTTTATTAACTGGCAATATTTCGTCTGAGGGGGTTTGTTAAATCCACAGCACTCTGTATAGACCCGCTGTCGGAATCGGGCATGTCCCTTCCTAAGTATACATGTTTGTCCATATCGAACAACCCGAAATTATACGATCAATGGTTTCCGATTTTGATTTTTCAAATTTGCCACTTGTCTGGACAATTGAAAATCATCATCTCATAGTTGTAAGTGATCCTGTAGAGCTAATGAAAGCTTCCGTTTCAATTTTTAAAATTTTCCACGCTGTATTATTGATGTTTGAAGCGTTCATTATACCTTTTAAGGTTCACGCAACTTTTTTTATAAACCCATTTCCTCTTGAGTTTTTTCTGGAATTGGGTTTTACCGTCGCAAGTTACAAGTTGCCTCCGTTTTCCGATTCATTTTCTTAATGTCATTATTATTATTTTGTTTTTCCAAAAAATAAAACCAAAAAAAAAGAAAAAAAAAAGTAGAAATAAAAGACGGTAAAAAAAAAAAAAAAGGAAAATTGTGACAGATGGTTGAACGTAAACCACAAATCGTAATGATGCAATTGGGAATCGGGTAACTTTACATCCCCTGATAGCACAAAAACTAACCCCTTAAACGGAAAAAACCTTTTCGAAAAGGCATTAAATCAAAATTATTGATGTTGTGTAAAATTTTTAACCGGTTTTTATTTATTTATGTACTTATTTAATATTCCTACTACGATTTTATTACTCATTGATAAAATTAAAAATAATGTTTATTCTGCTTTAATTTTTTTTTTTTTTTGAAGAACGAACAAATCGTTTTATTTTTACTTGATGAATTTAAAAAAAAAAAAATTATTATTATTATTATTAATTTATAATAATTACAAAAGTTTTCACAAAAGAAAATTAAAATTTTTTAATTGAAATTATTTTTTTTTTTTTTTTTAAATATAAAAAGATTCGACATGCGCGAATGAACGTTGCCACCGCCGCCGCCGCCATTTTATGTCATTGCCCCCACTTTTAAAAATTTTCTTCTTAATCCGTAACTGACTTTTTTTTTTGTGTAAAACAATAATAATACTTTTTTTTTTTTTAATGTTATTGTTTTTAATTTTATTTATGAGAATGTTTTTATTGTTATTTATTTCACTACATTAAAAATAATAATGATAATAATAATAATAAAGGTGGTACAAAAAAAAAACATTTTAAAAATAAAAAAAAATAAGTGAAAATTTTTTTTTTTTTTAATTGCAAATCTCGACCGCAACTTTGTTTATAATGAAATTGAAAAGAAAAAAAGAAAAAAAAATTTTTTTTAATTGTTCTGTCTAGTCTCGTCTGGTCTTGTCTAATCTAGTCTGATATGGTATTACGCATCCAACTTTCTGCTACCACGACAAAAACGAGTATTTTTTAAATTTTAAATTTACCTTTTTTATTTATTTTTCATTTCGGTAAAAGGTTTAAAAAAAGGTTCGTAAATAAAAAATATAATCGTCGGTTCAGGTACGAAATATAGAAAAAAAATCGGGGGGGGGGAGCTCTGGGAAGTTAAATAGGAAGAAAAAAGAAACGAAACGAAAAAAAAAGGGCAAAAGAAAAAGTAAAAAAATCAGTTTTAAACGTATAAACTGTGATTAAATTTCAACCCTTAAGGTAAAAAAGGGAGGAAAAAAGGAAAGGAAAGGAAAGAAAAGGAAAAGAAAAAGACTAAGAAGAAGAAGAAAAAGGGGGAAGGGGAGGGAAAGGAGTAGGAGGAGGAAAAGGTGGAGGAAGATGATTGAGTCATAAAACTTGGTTTCTACACGAAAATTCATCCCCTCGTACGGTTAATCTCGGTGTTAAACTGAAAAAGAACCACCATCGCAACCTTTTTTTTTTCATTCTCTCTCTCTCTCTCACTCACCCTTACTATTAGAATTTCTTGTACTTTTCGTGTTTACATTAAATTGTAAAAAACCTTGAAAAGGAAAAACTATTATCCCGTAAAAAAAAAATTCTTTTTACCTTTTTTTTCCTTTCCTTCCTTCCTTTTTCATTTTGTTTTATGGAATATGAAATAAAAAAAAAAAATTTTCTCTCTCTCTCTCTGTCTTTCTCTTTCCGTACGTTACAACCCCCCCAAAAAAAAAAAAAATTTTTTTACTCGGTTATACAGAACAACTTAAAAAAATGGTAGTAGCGGTGCGTGGAAATGTATTTTAAAAAAAAGCGTAGGAGGGTAAAAACAAAACAAAATGGAAAAAATAATAATAATAATTTTTCATATTATATTTTAGGAAGAAAAATAATAATAATAATAATAATAATAATAATAACGACGACGACGACGATGATGATGATGATGATGATGATGATGAAAAAAAAGGACCGGTTTAAGGATGGGCGTATACGATTTATGCCCGTGGCTTAAGTTTATTGTACGCGGCCCGCATATCTTAATTAAAAACGTCGGTTCGAGTCCAAAAATAATAATTTATTTTTTAAAAAAATTTTTAACGTTTATTTATTTTCTTATAATTTTACCTATTTGCATACTTTCGGTGTTACTTTTAATTTTTTTTTTATAGGTGCTAATGTTAATGTTTGCTGTTGGCAAAATTTTTTAAAAAAATTTAATTTCCTTTCCCCCCCCATCCCCCCATTTTTAAAATTTTATCGTTACGATTTCGTGCGTGTGCGTGAGTGAGTGTGATTTTCCCTTTCTTTCTTCATCATCGCCATTACGTCTTTTTATGTTTTAATTTTTTTTTTGTGAAAAAACAGAGCCGTCGTTCGTTTCTTAATTGTTTATCATCATTATTATTATTATTATTATTATTATTATTATTATTATCATTTATTCGTATATTGATATTTATTAATTAATGATAAATGATAACGCGAAAATAGAAATTTATTATTTTAAAAATTTTATTATTTGTTTTTCGCACGCAAAAAAAATTTTTTAATTTTTCTTTCTCCTCCTGCTGTTGCTGCTGCTGTTGTTTTTATCATTATCGTTATTATCATTATTATTATTTATTCGTTTAATTTATACTTTTATATATATTTTCTTGCACGAAATATTCTCACCGGAATCACGTCATTCTTGTCATTTTCATTTTAAATTTCAAAGTGGGAAAATAAAATTAAAAAAATCAAATCAAATTGAATATTATTATTATTATTATTATTAAGTAACTTTTTTTTTTAAATTTAAATTTTTCAATTAACGACAAGAAAAATTTTTAAACGACAAAATCGATCGATCGATCGGTTATCGATAAAAAAAAAGAGAAAACAAAATTATTATTATTAATATTTTCACGGTGCAACATCGAACGGGATTTAAAATTATTTAATCTTTAATTTAATGTTTTTATTACCCGTCACGACGGCGAAAGGGATTAAACGTAATTTAAATAATAATAATAATAATGGTGATGATGATGATAATAATGATGATAATTTAATTTAATTATTGTAATACTTACGGCAACTCTTGATTCTTTCAAATCTAATCTCATTGCCAAAGCTTCCCGCATGAAAACATCCGGATAGTGACTCGCCAAAAATGCTCTTTCTAATTCTTCAAGTTGCCAACTGTTGAAATTGGTACGAGATCTTCTCCTTTTAGAACTTCCAGGACCGTCGTCTAAATCATTATCTGGAGTGAGGGGAAAAGAAAAAAAAATTGATAAAGTTTTAATTTCAAATGTTTTGTTCCACCGTTTGTCGCGTTTTATTTTTCATAAAGTTAATAATAATTAAAAATTTTACGTTTCGTAATTTTCGGAAGAGGAAAGATGAGGGAGGAGGGGAGAGAAGGATGGGGAGGGGAGGGAAATAATAAATAAACCGTAAAAAATAATTTAACACAAAGTTTGTGTGTATGTGCGGTTTTTTATGGCGTGTTTTTCGTTATTACATAATTTTTATTAACAATAATAACAAAGTAAAGGTTTTTTAATTTTTATTCAAATTTATAAACAATAAAAATTTCTTTTTTTTTCATTAAATGTATAATTACTGGATAAATATTATGGAGAAAAGATTATTATACAATAACAAAAAAAAAAAATTTTATTTATTTATAATTATAGTAAGGTAAAGTTTTTTTTACGTCGAAATTTCCGCCATTTTCTTTTTTTTTTCTTTGCCCGATTTCTTTGGAATTTTACGTGTAAATGTCTGTTGTTGTATTTCATCAACGTATTATTTTTTAAACAATAATAATAATAGTTTACGCGAGGTTTAGGAATTAGCAGACGACCTCCATTCATTTCCTTTCTTTCTTTTTTTCCGCCATTTTTTTTTTCGTTCAAACCGAAAAGAAAATGAATTTAATGGACGAATTCAAAGAAAAATTTATTTTTATATTAATATTATGATTACGTTTGTTATTGTATTGTGTGGTTGTTGTTTGTTATTTTAAGTGGGTGTGGGTGTGTAATTATGTTTGAAATGATAAAAATCAAGATGAAAAGTCAAAATGGAAGATTTGTATTGTAATTGAATAAAAAGAAAAAAAAAATTTTTTTTTTTTTCTTTTCTTTCTTTTCTTTCTTTCTTTTGTTCGTTAAAGTTTTTTTCCCTCCGGTTAAATTATTATTATCATCATCATCATCATCATTATTAGAATTATTATTATTATTATTATTTTTTTTTTTTTTTTTCATTAGAAAATTTAAGATTTTAATTAGTCGAACGAACGAACGTCTGGTTGTTTTAATTTGACAAAATGAGGTTCGGGTGATTGTTTATAAAAAGAAAATAATAATGATAATTTGTTTTTTTTTTTTTTGGGTGCGCGTGTTGTTTTATGTTGCGTTATGTTGTGTTGTGTGCAACAACTGCTCACGATGATGTCTTAATTAAAACAATAATTAGTTTTTCTTTTTTTTTTTTTTATATTTGACCAAATCGACTTTTACACTCCTTCCTACATTAATTAATTATTTTTATTTTTCTTTTTTGACCCCACTCGTACCTCGTAATAATTGTCAAATAAATTTATTATCATCATCATCATCATCATTATTATTATTTTTCCGTTCGTTTTTTATTTATTTTTTTTTCGCGCGTATGCGTAAATATTTTGACCGCCATATTTAATTTTAATAATCAACTCATTGAACAACTTTTTTTCTTTTTTTTTTAACAATCGATCTCTAACATTATTATTATTATTATTATTTATTTAATTATTTATTATTATTTAAATAAATAAAATGATTTATAATTAATAATTTATATAAAATATTTTCCCCAAATTATTATTATTATTATTATTAATGTTAAAAACGTTAATTTGAAAAAATTAGTGAAAATTTAAAAAGAAATGTCAAAAAAAATTTTTTATTATTATTATTAGATAAATGTTAAACGTCAAATAATTTAAATTAAAAAAAATATTGATAATGATAATAATAATAATAGTAATAATAATGATAATAAATAAATGAATACGTGGATTTAGGGAATATATGATAGTAAAACGAAACGATCAAATGAATATTTTTAATTAAAAGTTTTTATTTATTAATATTTTTTTTTAAAACTTTATTATTATTATCATTATTATTATTATTTATTAATAAATAAAAAATAATATATATATTTATAAATATTTTTGAAGGTGTTCAAGGACGTTCGCGCTAGGAGTGAAACTTCCAAAAAAAAAAAGAAAAAATTCCGGGGGGGACTAACAACACCCCAAAAATAAAATAATGATATTAATTAATTTTTTTTTTGGAAACGTTGAATTAAATACAAATTTTTACTTGTCAGACGAGGTAGTAGTAGTCATACTACTACTACTACTACTACCACTACGACTCGGTAACGAAATAATAATAATAATAATCAATTATTATAACCTGTCAATTCAACTTTTTTTTTTTTTTATAAACAAAAAATTATCACATTCGCATCATCGAAAACGTTGAAATTATCAATTTTCTCGCGTTGCCTCCACGTTTTTTCGTTTCCGACCGGTTTTTACAAGAAAAAAAAAACTTAATAATAATAATAATAATGATGATGATGATGATGATGATGATGATGGTGATAATGATAAATAAACTAAATAAAATTTTCGGGTTGAATTTTATAAAAAAAATTGTTATCAAT